TAGTCAAAAATCAGTAGTAAATCACTGGCGCTTTTAGTGTGGGAAATTGTCGATCTACAGAAAAGTCCTCTAGTTTGAGTTGGAGTTAATATGACTCATTTTAAGCCTCAAGCAATAAGATTGAGTTCAAGAAAAGCTAAATTGGGAAATTTGAACTCACAAAAAAGCGTTTAAAATATGGTATCAGAATCATGTTTCAAACACATGGATATCCAGCTGAAACATGCAGCACCTCTCCCTGCCATTTCTCTGTCTGTCTCTCTCCCTCTCCCTTACACACACACACATTCAAACACACACACACAATAGCAGCCCTGTGATGGTCGGAAGTGTTTGTTCAGAGGGCTGTTGGCCGGCCGGCCCTGTGCTATTCCCAGGAAGCGGAGCGGGCGGTGACAGAAGCCAGGACTGTGGCATGAGGTTGGGTCAAAGCAGCGCAGTCGCGCTTCAGACACACATCTGACACTGAGGCAGGTGCAGGAGGAGCTGCCTTGTATATCTGCAGGGATTTGTTGACGGTGGAAACTTCTTTTTGGTTTAGAGGTATTTGACTTGTGTTTCATAGATTTTAGAGCTAGTTTGCTCTTTTCTGTATTTATCTGTCTCTCATCACAATGTCAGTTGTCTAAAGAGCCAAAGAGTAATTGTAGAGATGGAGATTTTATCTAGTTAATGATCAAATGATGAAATAAAAATTCTTAGTGTTTGATAATGTTTTTGTTATCTTTTCTTATCTGTTAGTTATCCTCTAAGTAATACTTCATTCATTTGTTTATGACTAGAAGCACTGAGATGTAGATACCTTGACACCATGATGTCACCTAATCAAGACTGATTTTAACTTCTCATGTAGTAAATGCTGAAAATCAGGACAAACAGCTCTGACAAAAGCAAAAAAGATAACACATTATTATCTTCTTCAGATGTGGAATCCAGGCCACACGACTAAGGTTTGGTTTGCTTTGTAGCAGATATGAATCCCTGGATGATGTTTCTGTGGCAACTCTGCATTTTTGCAGGTTTTAAATAGCAAGAGGTTCCAAACCCCCCCGAGAGGCGTGGTTGGGGTGCATCTCAGCAGGACGGGCCTGGCATTTATGATGGGAATCTCACAGGGGCATGCTTTTTGAAGGCAACTGCTATTTAGGCTCCGACTATAATAACAAATTATGGGGCAGCATGAGAGTGGTTCAGTTCCTAAAGTGAGGTTTTGGATTTGGAGTATTAAACTGTGCCTGGGTTAGAGGGGGATTTCAATGAGCATTATTTTTAGGGAGGTTGTGGTATTCAAGGAAGGCCGTAGTCGGCATTCTTGCTGCTCTTGTAAACTATGCTGTGTCACCTAGAAGGACAGCATATGTCAGGCGTACAGCTGCTTCTCAGGTCAGAGGTCACAGACATGTTAGCAAGGGCAGTTTCAACTTCATTAGAGACGAGGATTCAGTTGACTTGTTATTATGCCAATATAGCATATACAGGTTTTAAAGCTTTAATTGGAAAAAAAATATATATATTTTTGAGGTTGAATGAACAAGCTACACAGATCATAAATGACTCAACAGAATATCTTGAACTGAAACGTTTCAAACTTCTTTCAGCTGATTTTTCATTTTTACTCCCTGACCTTCCCTTTCTGGTAATTTTGAGTATTGTTCTTAAGATAATACGTGATAAACCTGCTTTATGTAGTATATTAGGAGCAATCTATTCAGCTTGTAAGAACTAATGGACTCCCTAAATCTCCAAATTGGGGATCCTTAATACTGTACAGTATGTTTTACTTTCTTGGCCCAGTATCCTAACCTGTGTGGTGTTCCTTAAGGAAAAACAAACAAGAAACCTGTCGAATGTAGAGTGTGCTGAGGGGAAAAAAACAGCATTTTACCAGTGAAGCAAATAGAGCCCATGCTTGTGATCTTTCCATGCCTTTGTTTTTGCATTGTTTTTCTCTTAGAAGAATTCCACAAATTTCCAATGTCTTTTTTCCTTATCGACCATGTTTATTTAATCTGAGCTCACCTTGATATCGAGAGGTATGGTGAGATTTCCTGTCCAAAAATCTGAATAATCTCAGAGGGAAATCTGTTTATGCATGGTGTCTTGTGCTTACTGTGTGGCTGTAAACCACTCACCCAGGGACCAAAGCTGTTATATCAGATGCCGTCTGCTGGGTGTCTCCAGTATTGAAAAATGTTGCTGTGTGAACCAGGCATAAGTATTCAATTTGTTCTAAGGCAATAAGTGATATGCAAAATTGAGTGAAAGTGAAAATGATAATGGTACACAAATTATATTTTTAAACATAAATGCATTGAACTATTTAATGTATATTAAAAGCCACTACTGAAGATGTATTTGTGAGCAAATACATCTGTCTTTTCTAAGACTATGGCACAAGCTAATGGACATCGCTCAGCGACTTGTGAAAGATAAGCATTTCTTTTAAAGTTGTATCAATGAAATCCTGGTATTCCTTCTTACCAGGACTTGTCCCATGTCTGATGGTAGTTCTAGCCTATTGGTAAAAATTAAGAGAATGTTCACTTCCAACTTTTTTACTTGTCCAGTACAACAACTAATTCCAACAACTTAATGCTATTAGTGTGTAAATACACTAATGGCATTTACAAGCTATTAGCATATTTAAGTTGAGGTGTTCAGCCTTCCAATCACCTAGAAAGGGAATGGTTGAAATCAACTGTAACTTTTTGGTTTGTATTTAAATATGCAGTGAATTAACTCATTGATAATTTGGTCAATTATGTTTGCCATTGTCCAGCTGGTTGGGTATAGTTATAGAAAATCTTTATCTTGTATGTTGTTGCAGTAAATTTAAACCTTTTAGGTTGAAGATGTGACTCTAATGAATTTTATTTTTATAAGGAGCATGGCAACATGTCTGCTAATCAGAAATCTGATAAACGGCGTATTCAAACAGGTTCAAAATGTGACATATCTTGCTCGAGCATAAAAATTATAAATGATTTTGCTGTACTCTTCAGGAATAACTATGTTGAAAAATGTGAAATCTCCTTTTGCTTCAGCTTCTCACCTCTCAGCTGGAAGCTTCCCCACAGGAAAAGCATGGCGGGAACTGTAGGTCAAGCTATATTTAGTTGCATATTAGCTGTAATCGTGTCTTTAATTATTGGATGGATGGTACCCTACTGCTTTTTGCTCACACCCAGTGGGGTTAGTCAAGGCCATATTTGTGTTTTAGTTTTTGAATTAATTAGGATTCAATGTTCCAGATTATACCCTCAATAGATTTAGGCTATTACAACCTTTCTGTTTAATCCTGTATATTTGTTTTACTAGTTTGCCTGTTGTATCACTCATCTGAGAGAAATGTCAACATTGATATGAGTTGGTATAGTCGGCTTGTGCTATAAATGTGACATTAGAGGGAAGTGTTTGTGCAATCTTTTATACTTCGCCCTTTGTGTTCACCCATCAGCCACAACCTTTGGTCTTTTCTGCTTAATGACTTTTATGTGGTTGATTTAGAATCGCGTGCCCCGGTCATAAGATTCTGGGCATAATGGGTCAGCCGAGCCCTGAACAAAGCCAGCCTGGCTATCAAATCCTAGTGTTGTCCAATGACAGCTCAGCAGTCTGCTCAGGTTGCCACGGCTGCTGTCATAGTAACTGGGCTGCTGTAGATGATTGGGTTTTTTGCAGTCTAGCTCTGCCGACAAGGTGTGTTTGATTGGAATCCTACTTTACCTATGCAATCAAAATGAGTCTTAATGCTCCATGCCTGACCTAATTTAAGCCATCAGTACACAATCAGATCTCCAACTGTTACTAGTGTAGTAAAGAGGGGGGCAAATTACCACATAATTGTGCCAATTTCTGTCCCAATCTCCTTCTAAGAGGCCTTGATTAATGGGGAGACCATCCTGCTGTGGTTCCTTCAGGGTGATGGGGTCTACTGGGTGGAACATTTCGGACAATTAATATCAGAGATCAGGAAAATCCAACATGTTGAATTGACTTGTCAGTCCTGCACAGGTCTGATTTTTTTTCCCCCACCCTTATCCACCCCACACCTGTAGAGCTCAGAACAAAGACTTTGCCCGTTTTTCTTGCTATTACCCCCTTTTAAAACCCACCATTACCTGTGAGTAATAGACCTCTGAGCAGCCACTCAATTTCCTTTTGGTCAGGAAGTGGATTGTTTTTGTAGCTTCAGCAGAACACTGAGGCACAAATAGATGATTTGGCCATCTGATCTGCATGTCTTTGTGATACCACTGTTCATTTCAGTCTAGAAACACATCTCCTGCAAGTCATTCCGTTAAAGTTTAAAAAAGGAAACAATGAAACAATCCACTGGACTGGTTTCCAAACCTTGGAAACCAAGTCCAGTGGATTGTTTTTTTATTTTTTTTTTTATTTTATGGAATGGCTATGACCTGGATGACTGAGAATCTTCACCAGCATATCTCCTGCAAGAGCTTTAGAGTGTTTTTGGTGTCCCTGCTGGACAAGTTACGTCAGTGTCTTAACCTCGGATGTATGGATGAATGAATGAATAAAGAGTGGATATATATCATGATTGGATATTCATTTTTATAAACCAAAACAAGTCAACAGTAACACACTTTTTGCCTTCTTAATTGTCAATGACCTGGGGTCTTATTTAAACAATTTTGTGCAGGATCCATTCTAAAAGTGTACGCTTGCTAAACAACCAGAAATAGACTTTACCAAAGAAATCAACATCCCCCTTTTTCCAAAGTTTGTGTGACAGACTGTCAATTGTGTTTTTTTTTACGCATCACAAGCTTTATAAATTACACCCCTGGCCATGTTTCCAATGCCTTGTGTAAATTGGACTGGAAACCATCTTCTTTGAATAAGACATGTTTGTTTTTTAGTTCAGGTAATTCTCTCTGATACATGCAAAAACAGCTAGGTTCCTCATATTACGCATGGAAATCAGGATGGAAATATGGACTCTGCTTTGACTTACTCTTGTGTCTTTATCTCCCTAGATTGAGAACATAGATGCTTGCCTGAGTTTCCTGGCAGCTAAAGGAGTCAACATCCAGGGTCTGTCTGCAGAAGGTAAACAGGACTATAATGCATGACCCCAGGAGGTTTAATTAATTCCACAACTCGAATATAAAGACTCAACACAACTATATCCTATATCTCACTGTTTTTTCTATCTAACCCGCAGAGATCCGGAATGGGAATCTGAAGGCAATCCTTGGCCTGTTCTTCAGCTTATCCCGTTACAAACAGCAGCAACAGCAGGCTCACCGACAAAACTCCCAGCCCGGCTTCACACCAACGGCACAAACCCAAAACACGCATTCTTTGCTGAGCCAGCAGAGCAGCGCTCCGGCACAGCTCAGCCACTCTCCGCATGGGACTCCCGCCCTCACAGCACAGAAAGCAGCACAGGCCGATATGCAGTCCAGGTGAGCCTTGCTGACCAGATCCATGCAGTTTAACCATGAGGCAAAGTGGATAAATCTGTTTCACTTTCTTCAACTTCCATCTATTGAAATCTATTGTTTTGGCATTTCTGTCTTCTTGCTCACATTTCATTTCATTTCAATTTCTTGACCTGACTTGTCTCTCGGTACCTTCCATATCTCCTGTCTCTTTTCTTCTCCTCTAGGGATGCTTGTCAGAGTAAACTTCTCAAGTTTTCCATTGGTCAGAAAAAGAGTTCTAGGTCAGCTTCACTTGCCCTTCTGATTTATTGCCCCTTTGTTTGTTTTCTCAACCACAAATCCTATACCGAACCTTTTCCTTGAATTGCAAAGCTAGAAATTGCCTCTAATCATAGAAGGATGGTGTTGCTTATTTGTCTGTGATTAAGGGCAATCTCTGCTACAAGCATGATCAATAATGCATGAGTGATAGTGCTCACCAGATAGGAACTGAAGCTCCAGGCTCCACTTTCAGATGGATGTTGACTGTTTCTGGCATCACGCCTCATTTGGCAGACCTGCTAAATGGGCTGTAAAAGACCTTTAGATAACCCTTAAGTTAGTAAGTGTGTGTTGGTTTGGTTTCCTTGACAAGAACGTTCTCCATATAATGTGACATTAATAATTAACACATAATCTATAGCAGGAAGTGTGTATTTGAAGTGATGTGTGAAACACCCTGCCTGTGTTCTTTTCTTTTTGCTTCATTTGACATTATGCCAGTTTTCCAGCATGCGTTTCACTCTAATGTAATTACCTTCCTCAAACCTAAATGAAAGATGTGATTTTGCATGCAGCCATTCAAGAATATGAATATGTCTCTGCCTCCTGTGGACACATGCAGCTTACCAAGTGCTGCAATGCCTCCATCATCTGGTGAACTTGTGTAACTACACTGGGAAGAGTCCAGCTGGCAATACTGTATTTTTCTCACAGTTTCGTTTCCCAGTAACATTTCAATCACAAATGTCCAAAAAGTACATTTTGCAAAAATTTTATAAATAGACAAATATTGTCCATTTTTTATATTTGAATATATTTTTACTTTGACGCCAAATCGAGTGAGGAATGGCATTAGACTGAGTCACGGCAAAAGTGAATGCTAACTGATTTTAGACTTCCTCTGTCCATATCATGAGATTAAAGACACTGTTCTTGGCTGAATAACACTAAAAATCATCACCTTGCTGAAAATGAGCTATTATAACTGGCACAATAGCTGAGAACTCTAACCCTCTTACCAGCACTCTCATTTGGGTCTTAGACTGAGGATGAAGATGGTTTTTCCACAAGTAAATACTTTTCCATTGAGAAGTTATGAGCCACAGGGAGGTGAGATTACAGCCTAACTTTCAGACTTCACTAAAGCTGACTGATAGACTTACAACATGGGACCAGTCTTTCATTGATCAGTCTTATCCATGGGAAGAAAGAAAGGAGCCGTGCAAACGATCTGAAGCTGGCAGAAGGCCGCATCACAACCAGACGTATCCGTATACGTTAGATTGCATTGAATGTTTATCGCAAAACTAGAAACAAAAGATGGGCTGCGTTTAGAGTCCAGACTTTTTTAGAATTATGGTTTTCATTCTTAGCAAACATAAAACATTAAAATGTAAAATTCACTATGCTTAGCAGTGTGTGAATTTAATTAATATCAGTCAAAGAGAAACTGAAGCTGGTTCCTTTGGCAGTGCAATCATAGTTTGTAGGTAGAGGTTCTCTAAATCAGAACCTGACAGTTGAAATCATGTACTTAGCTCATGGGGTTTAATTGTTTAATCATTTCTCACGTGTCTTTATGGTGTTTATTTATGTAGGGCTGTAGATTTATCAGTTTTTTTTTTTTTTTTTATAGTACTAAAGGCAAATTTAATGACCCTGTTCATTCTACTTTTCTTGTGTGGAGGGAATTAGACTATGACTTTGGCATTCCCAACAGTTCTTTCTGTTAACTGTAACATGTTAAACAGCCTTTTTGTGTTAAATCACAGGAAGTATCCTTTAACTCCCTTATGAAAGCTAAAATTTCTCTCCCATTTACCACCCCCACCCCCTCCTCCATCATTTTTGACTTTGTTTTATCCTGATCTGCTCCTCTGTTCATCAGACTTCCTGGCCCATCAGCAAGGATGTCCACTGCTGGCAGTGACATCCCTCCCAGAGGCTCGGTCAGCGCTGCTGGGAACAGGCGAAGCCAGGGCTGCAGTGACAAGGCCAAAGCAAGTTTACATCTGAACAAAGGTATGCCCGACATTCTTTACATAGAGCGGCAATAAATGCATGAGAAAATAACTTCAAATACTGAAGTTTTGGCAGAAAAGGCCATCCGCTGGTTTTAAATCTAACATGTATTAAATTTATGTTTCATTCTTTCATCTTCTGTCTGCCTGAACAGTTTATTTAAACTGCTTGTGAAGATCTGCCATGTTACTCTTCCTAGATTGTAGCCCAGTGTACAGAAGTGTCTCTGAATGTGTGATGTACTGTAGAAAAAGAAAAAAAACATGTTGCAAAGATGAACATTACTATCTTTTAGCAAAACATAAAAACAATTTAAAGGGGTCATGTAGAGAAAATCCCCCATTAGGGTGGTAATGTGGAAATATTGTCCTCCTGAGAAACTATTTTTACCATGTGAGATGCGGTTCAAATGAAGAGGATTAGAAAACTGCCTCAACCCCTACTTGGATTCTCTGAGACCTTTCTTAAAGTGGAACACACCTAGCTCTATCTGACTGAGCACAAGTAGAGGTCTTTGAATTGGGATCGGTGATTCTGTCTGCTAAAATCGTCTTACTGTATTTATTTTACTACTTAGTTTTTCCAAGCAGCACTCATCCCAGTCACATTATTAAGCCAGGGAAGAAAAGCCACCCACATCAAACACAAGTTCAGTTAACAGACAGTCCTGTTTTGTGCAAATCACGTTAATGTACCTCTTCATTCCCTGTAGCTCCCCTGAAATTATTTCAACACAGGAAAGGGTGATTTAAACCAAAAAGTAAATTTGATATCAGCAAGCAGGTCTTTTCTCTGCTGTTTATTTGCATTACAATCTTAATTTTCTTCCAATCTGTTCCTGGTATTTGGCAGTAGATTTAGTAAAAATGGTGCATGAGGCAGCCTTTGCAACCATTCATTGAACCCAACCTTTATATAGACATTGTTAGTGTTCAAAGTCTGAACTCATTACCCTCTGTACCAGGAATTTTGAACACCCAGAGAAACAGACAGTTGTCATTGTGTTAAACAGTGCCAGATTAACGGGGCCCGACGCTGTGAGCTGCACTGTTACCAGTTACTTTGATGAGCGGCTCTATTGGAGCCTCCTTTGGGAGCTTTTAACGCTGTATACTGGGAGTCACATGCATTTGTTAATTGTTATACCCAGATCAGTTAAAAGATTTCAGCAGGATCAGGCATTAATGGGATCCAAAGAACATTTAAAAAATGTATATTTACTGTAAGAAATGCATGAATTGTTGCTTTTAAATGATGGCTGAAACACTTTATCAGATAAACCATGATTTATCGATTATTGAAATAATCGTCAACTAATTTAGTAATCGATTAATTAAATTAACTGGATTATAGAGACTGTAAAACATGCCTTTAGCTGACAGAGCGACCCACTTAGAGGAGTACTTATATCAAAATTGTTAAAAAAATATGTAAACATTTTGAATTTAAGATTAAAAGCAACTTTTTGGTCAATCAATATGCTCTATCCAGAACTCCTAAAATGAAAACATTTGAGTTTCACCTGGTTTAATTTGTAATTAATTTGTAAAAAAATCTTCTTTAAAGAATGTTTGGCTATCCGATTACTAATCGATTTATCGTTAAAATAATCAACAGATTAGTTAATAGTTGCAGCCCTGTTATAAATATGTAACCTGTTTATACAAAGTCTGTGTATAAGAAGAAGCTGTGTTTGTTCAGTCCTGGTGGTATTTTGCTGAAAGACTCCAGCATTAATGCTGAATAAAAGGAGCTTTTGTTCATAAAAGTAGCAGTAAATAAGGCTGCCTTCTTGTAAACACTTGTCTAGGGGAGAGTGGTTGTTAACGGTCAGCTGATGGGTAAAGTATGAATGAAGCAGATGATCTCAATTACCTGGAAAATGTTTGTAGTTCAGTCTTGGTGCAACAAGAGCAGAACATTGAAAATACATGAGAGAATGTCCGTGGTGCTCTGGGAAGGGGTCTTATAGATGTCCACAGAATGCATATAGTCAACAGTGTTTTAATTTATTTTAAAATAGAAACACTTGTGTAATCCAAATACAGCTTGAAGGCTTTCTGAGGAACGTCTTCTTTACTAGCTTAGCATATTTAGGGACCAAATTAAAATAGACTGTTCCAGGAATGTCCTTTAATTTTGCTCCATCCATCTTTTCGGCTCTTTTCCAGTTTGCTGTCCCTGCTGAGGCAAAGCTTTACCTCAGTATGATGCTGCCACCGCCTCATTTCACTTGTGGGAATAACATATTTAAAGGGATTTGCAGTGTGCATGTGTTTGTTTTCCCCTACACATCTTTTCCTGAGTAATTTGTATCTCCTATATGTTTTTTTTTTTTTTTTGGATAACTGAAGGAGGAGCTTCTTATCCTTTCTTCCAAAATGACTTTCTGCCTCCGTACAGTCCAGGTTTATGTAGTTTTGTGTAGTCTATGCAGATTTTAACCCTGAACCTGGATCCTTCCTTGACCTGGTCATATACTGATATACTGATGTTTTTTTTTTTTTTTGTAAGGGTAGCAGAGAGAAGAAAAGCCGAATATTAAATATACAGCACAGTTTTTAGGTTTTTGGTTTGCAAAAATTGATGAAAGCTGTGTGTCCTCTTCCAATTGCTTTATTTTGTTAGATTAACAAGTAGAACTTTAATAAAGTGCATAACTGCTTTTTTAATGACACAGCAAAAGTAAAACATTTTCAGAGGTATGATTAAGTTTGCAGGGTTGTGTGTTTATTAACATAACCACAGAACCCTGTTTCCAAACCAAACTCCTCCCCTGTCATGTCTTTGGACCTGACTCCCCCTCCCTCCTGGCCTCTGTTCCTGGATGCCTGGCCACAGTTTGGGTCTCTTCCCTCCTATGCTGTCCATCTCCTTCTGCTTTACTTCCCTGCTTGATATCTGCAGCACCTACAAGGTTTGTCATTTGCAGCTTCTTAACCAACTCCTGGTAGAGACAGAAAGCCTCTTTAACAAATCAGAACCATTTGTGTGAAATATTGTTGATCTGGTTTGCTGTAGTTGTGTCAGGTTTTATGTTTTCTTATTTTGGATAACAGCCAACTCGTATAGGTGCATTTTTGTTGAATGTTCAATGGTAGTTTCTAAAGTTTAGTTCTACAGTAAATGCATTTATTAAACCTTGCTACTGCTGGTTCAGATGTTGCTGTGAGCCCAGAGCTGCTCTGTGTCAGTGGCTGTGACACCAGAATAAAGTCATGCTACCAGGCAGAGCCACAGTACAGGGCCACTTCTGAATGTCCTCTTCTGCTCTGTGTTAATATGAGCTGACAGAATCTGGGTGTTCTCTTATTTACACTAAGCAGAGAGAGGAGGGGGGGGGGGCACCTGTGTGTCCGTGCATGTTTCTGTGTGGATGTCCACTGCTTTTACTGAATGAATAGCTTTCTGATGAGCTAAAGCTTCACTGTTTAAGTTTATTCATGTGGAGAACCTTTAAAATCGAACAAAAAAAAAGCTCATCACAAAAGCGTGCTGTCTCTCTCGCTTTTTGGAGCACAATGAGTGAGGAGCGAGAGGGATGCCTTCTGATATCAGACCGTGATATCGAGCAAACACCTGCAGCCTCAAAATGATGCTTCAATGAATGGGTCAGTAAATTATAATAATCATAAATAATTCTCATTTCTCCTCGTTCACTGTGCAGCACGCCAGCTCTCCCTGTGTGTTAATAGGACAGATGTTTTATTTTGGATAAACTATATGGATTGATGATTTTTATAATGGATGAGATGGCGCTCCATCGGGGATGCTATTCCATCAGAGCAAAACTTGCTTTTCCTGCATACAGCCAGCTTCAATGAGGTTTTGCTCAGTGTAATTATTTGATGGAACAAGCTTGCACAAGGGCATCTAAATTTTGAACACCTGTCCCTTTATGCGTGTTGTGTGTGTTTGGGATTGCAAGAGTTAGGAAGTAAATTAGTTGCTTCATTCCTGATGGCTTCACATCTTGTGACTGGTGCAATCACGAGAGAGGCTGGCAGACTTATTTTCTGAATCATATCAAGCATATCAGTGGATGCCAACTTTATTGCATCTGCTGTTTGTTTTCCATCTCACACAGCTCTGCAAATGTCATGCTTTCACTTTAGGAACCTGTAGATGTATATAGTTGAATAGTTTCTGTTTAACCTGACAGGCATGTTCAGACATGTAAGCAACGAACATTTTGAGTGTTGACACTGTGAAATTGCAGCTTTTTCCTTTGAATAGATTTAAACCTATGCATATTCAAAGACACTTATGTGTGGCAAGCCATGAAAAGAGCTTTAAGATTGATTATGTGAGATTTGTTGAGGGGATCGTATATTATCACATTGTTCTGAGCAGAGAATGCAGCCGGACTGACCCAGACTTAAAGGATGTTCAGACATAGAGGAGGTAGAAAAGGTCTGCTTTTCATTTTAGTCTCTAATGACCGCAGCAATTAAGCAGTTAAGCCAAACACTTAAATTCTTTCAGCATGTTTCCTAAATAAGTCAGCTCAACAGCAAAATGAACAAATGTGACCAGTGTAATTTGAGGGTTTGGCCTAAGGCTGCACAGGGTTGTTTTGTGACCTGTTCTCTAAACTAGCTAGGAAATAATTTATTTATCTTAGAGGGAAACTGCTTCCCTCTGCGCTATTTTTGCAGATAACTAAAAAAAAAACATATAAAAGTAGAAAATCTTCTTCTAGAGGGTCTTTGGAAAAAGTTTTTATTAGTATGAGACATTTGCTATTGAGAATAAGGTACGTTTTTTTTCTAAGCGCCATGTATGTAGATAGGTAATTTGTCATTTTTACAGAAAAATGAAAGCATAAAGACAAAATATATGCGTGGTAAAATTCAATGACAAAATAAAGATCTTTTTAATTAGTCTGTACATTTTTAAATCATAATTACACCACCTATGAAATTATAAGAATGACACAAATAACTTGAAAGCTCCAGGAAACAATCGTGTTTTAATCTTTTATCTAATGACTCTTCCATCTTTAAATACTTTGGCATTTATAATTAGTAAAGCTGTTTGTCCATGATTAAATGCAATTTAGATAAACCTACTTATAGAATGTTAAAGTCTTTCAGTCACGATTATATAATTTACTGTGTCAAAGCAGAACAAAGCTTATATTTAAAGTATTTTATGATAAAAAGAAAATCTAAAATATGAGCCAAAAAATTGTGTTACTCCACCTAATGGCCACCTCATTATTTCACTTGTTTAACAACACTAAAGCACTGAAGTTTTCCATAAAGTAGTTTTTTTTTTTAATAAGAACTAAAAAGAAATCCAGCATATTTTACTGTGGCTTTTGACTCGAGACTTTCTAAGACAAATTTTTTTTTTTGACATCAACCTAACTAGAGCATCCCCGATCTTGTCACTTAAAACTCCAAGCCAAAAGCCTTTCCATGCCCTTTGTCTCTCTATTCCTTTCTGACCCAAAGTCCAAACTGACCCAGTTCTGTTAATGCATGGACTTTCCTGCTGGCTCACATCAAAGCGTCATTCACCCCAGACCTGAACTGTGTGCCCCCTTATTCTCCCACTCCACTTGAAGCGGTCCCCTTCTTACTCAGCTACCACCAATAGGAAGCCGGCTATTAGAAACCTGACCCACTTTGTTGATAGCTAACTGCTAGCGCATCTAATTGGGCCCTAATTACTTCCTAATGGCTGCTTTGTTTCATGCTTCTCACATTAAATACTAAAGAGGAGAAGTGAAGGCTGCTTTGTTAGAGTGGATTTCCAATTAGGACTTTAAAGAACTGGAAATATGAATGAGGAGAGGATCTGATGAAAATGGTTAACAAGTTGTTCATTTGTTCAGTCAGGTCACTGTATAAAATAAAGTTAAACTTTCAATTATGAAACAATCAAAGAAAACTTCTAATTCTACTCAAGAATATGCTAAGCAGAAGGGCTTTGGATATGAGATCTCACAGTTTCATATATTTGGAAAACTTTTGCAGAGTAGTGAGGGTACCTGTTGTTTACTGTTGAACAAGTACTGAATATACATAGATTAATTGTTGGAAAATTATCATTTACATTAACATACCTTGTTTTATACCAGTCAGTAAATATTTTTTTTAAACCAGGGCTATGTAAAATATGAACCGTTTGTATGCAGATAAGAAAACAAATGCAAGATCCTATAAAGCAAAAAGGGCTTGGACTGAGTATCTTTACTGTGTTTGTGCTCATGCAAAGTAAAGGGGGGTCTGTTGCAACTACAGGGTAATGATATAGTCCAACCAGTCCTCCTAGCACAGGCCCTCTCTCTCTGGCGGTTGGTGTTTGAATATTCAAATGTTACTGGATGGAGTGGTGTTGCCTGGAGCAGTGATCTGTATGCACACTGTGAACCCCAGAAGCACTCGGGATACTCTTATTTTCAAACGGGATACACATTTTACCAGATTTCTTTTTTCCCTCCTCTAGTTCTCGGTGAGTTTGCTTGTTGAGTCACATACTGTAGCTTAGATTCACACAGCCAGTGTCTAAATGCATGCTGGATATGACTAGAGTGAGATATTGCAAGAAGGGATTTGGTTTTGTTTTCTTGTTGAATTATGTTATCATTCTTTTTTTCTTTTTAAAAACAAGATTGATTTCTTGTAAATAGTTAATGTTTATTATATTTCCTGAGGTAATCTAACCAAAGGCAGCCTATATAAGTCCAAACCTTATAAGTGCAGCAGGACTGCTCCCTGACATGACTTACTTGGCAAGGCTTTAAAGCACTTAACTTGCTCCTCACTGTTCTTGTAAACAGTTTGTGATGGACTCCCTTATTGTTAGTGCTAAGGGTTTTTAACAGTGTTGGTGGCTTGCCTGAAATAAACTAAGGGGTAGTTTATATCTCCGAGCCTTAAAAGGTCATTTTCTGTGGGGTTAAACAAACTAATCATCTGCTTTTTCCCAAAGCTTCTTCATCATTTGATAAGTTGTCTTATTCTTTGGTGCAGATTCCCTGGAGGGCATGACCTCACAGCCTCCTGTGATGAGTGAGCATGCTCCTTCATCTGCGGTGACCGTCGGCTCCTCCACCAGCACCCTATCTGCTGCCTCCCACCTCGTTCCTCCCTCTTCATCATCCTCCCCTTCCACTGCCATTCCCCAACCCAACAGCAGCAGCAAGCCCTGGAGGAGCAAGTCAACGAGCTCAAAGCACACCATCACCCAATCTCTGTCATCCACTAGCAACCCAGCATCTGCAATGCAGTCCAATAAGCAAGAGAAGGACACATCCTCCAAGGCTGTTGCAACAGCTGAGCCTCCTCCCAAAGCTGCTGCTCAGAAGTCGATGCTTGAGAAACTTAAGCTTTTTAACAGCAAAGGAGGATCTAAAGCTTCTTCTGCTAATACAGCAGGGCCCCAATCGGACAGTGCTGCCCCAGTTAGGCAGCCTGGAGCAATGCATGTAGAGAGATCTGAAACTGGCTCAAACACAGACCCTCTAGAAGAGGAAGATGGTAACCTCCGACCAGGAATGAATGGAACCAGCAATGGGACAACAACCCCCATCACAATTTCCACAACCGCCAGCAGCCCCAAAATTGCTCTAAGGGGCATTGCCCAACGCACTTTTAGCAGAGCTTTGACTGCCAAGAAGGGTTCTGTAAAAGGACCTGAAAAGGACAAGGACAAAGGAAAGGAAAAAGATAAAGGGAAGGACCTGGGGAAACGCACCCCAGATAGAACAGAGCTAAGGGGGGAGGAGCCTAGGGAGGAAGCAGCACCAGTTCCTACAGATGTGGATGGGTCAAACAAAAAGACTTCCAAAATTGCTAGTTTCATTCCCAAGGGGGGAAAAGTAGCCAAAAAAGAAAGTTCCACCCCAGCACATAGCGGAATACCAAAGCCAGGAGGCAAAGCCCAGGGAGCTGGGGGTAAAGCTTCCTCAGTGAAGGAGGCGGGGGAGAGACCTAGGAGCATGCGGTTAGGAGGAAGTGGGCTCGTCATGCACCGCGGACCCTTGGAGAGAGACAGGGACAGCAGGCACTCCAGCTCTACCTCCAGCTTGGCCTCCACAGAAGGAAAGCCCAGCGTCGCCCCTGTGGCGGGTTTAGGAACTACACAGAGCACAGCCAGCAACACTGTCAGCGTGCAGCTACCTCAGACGCAACAACTGCACAGCCACCCAAACACAGCTACTGTTGCACCTTTCATGTACAGGTAAGAGCTTGGATTATTCTGACATTCTGAATAATACATTTATTTGGACCAGCAAAGAAAAAACCCTGCTGTCAAGCAGATGCATAATAAATAAAATTTATTGAACAATAAAAAAAAAAAAATATATATATATATATATATATATATATATATATATATATATATATATATATATATATATATATATACATCCATACAACCATTGTCTATATCTGCTGCTGGACTCGTTGGACCCTCGCTGCTTTCCATCAGTAATTTTATCAGAGGCAGGGGACTCACAGGTTTATCACAGGGCACAGCAAAGAGACAAACAGAGAACAAATTAATCTGTCAGTTTTCTTTTGGTCTATTTTATTTATTATTTTTTTACAGTGGGAACAATGCCAGATTATTGGCAGAGAACCCACACATGCATCGGGAGAACATACGAACTCAAAATAGAAAGATTTGAAATTAATAAATGTCTACTTATTTATTTATGTGTCACTGTACCTATAGATTGTAGGTTATTGAACTGCAAATGATTGATAAAATTAGACAAAGTCCAAAGAGAATTTTTTATTTTGTAAACTCAATTAAGCTTTAAAATTAGGAGCTGGGAATCTCATTCGAGGGTTGTCTAAAATGTTTGTTTTGTATATAATGGAGACAATTTTTTTCTGTTATCTTTACTTAAACTAGTTTAATGTTGCTGTGTTATATGTTGGTCTATCATTTCAAATATCTGCAAAATAAATTTAAAACCAGAGATATACATTGCAGTTTTTGTTTTTTAACAGGAAGAAATTTGATTATAAGAAAACATTGCTAATTACTGTGTAACTGAAAAAGTTCCTCTACTGTTATTTGCCTTCCAGATATAATTACTGCTAGTTTAATTTCAACTTTGCCTCCCATATACTAACTTTTATAAAGATACTGAAAATGTTTTTTGAAAATAAATCAAATCAAGCAAAAAGATAGTTGCATCAAACAAAGTTGAAGTGGATCAACCAGTAAAATTCAGATGTTAATTCTACAGCAGTGAGGGATTTTAAACTGGGTCTCACTCTCAGCTGAGAGTGCATTAGCTAACAAGGACAAAGTCTGGAGTTGGGCAAAGACCAAAGGCGGCATATGAGCAAGGCATACAAACGTCATCATCTCCGGCTGCAGTGCATTGGCTGAGCTGTATTGATTTATCCTTCAAAGACAAATGTTACTGACGTCTGAGGCTTAGCAGGCATTCACTTCTCACCACAGTCACAAGACTGGAAATGCAGCAGATTTAAATTCTAATCAGGTTTATCCCTCCTTCATGGCAATTTTCTAAATGTGGGGTTCCCACTAAATGCACAATAATTCACAATCAATGATTTCCTCACACTAAGCATTTGCACAAACTGTTTTGCGCAGAACCCAAACAGAAGGCGATGGAACGGTGAACTCAGAGAGCGGTTCAGTGGGAAGAGGGGGCGACGTCTGCTGCACAAAGACCAGCCAGACCTCCATCGATGACCTTTCAGGTTGGCAATCTCTTTTACTATTGCTGTTTAAGTTCAGAGTCTATCTTATTGGTATTTAGTTGATGATTTTTTGTTTGTTTCCTTCAGGTGAGGACCCAGAGACAAGACGGCTGCGTACTGTGAAAAACATTGCAGACTTACGGCAGAACTTGGAGGAGACCATGTCCAGCCTGCGGGGCACACAGGTCACTCACAGGTACAACGAAACAATCAAATAAAACTGATTACAGTTATTCTTTCATCTATACAGAATTTAAATTAAGTTTAATTTTAATGACTTTGATCTCTGGAGTCTTTTACCAAGACAAAAACCTCCTTAAGACTCTTTTGGGATGTAGCAGAAAGACTCTGACTAGAAACTGACCCTCTGATATTGGACCAATGGCATGGAGCTGGAAAATAAGTTTTTATTACGAAACACCTTAATTTGCTTTGAAAATGAATTAAGAGAAATACATGAAATAAAATTTATTGTGTATACACTGCATAGTGATTAATACTAAAGGAAACTATGATGTATGGGAAAACATACTGTATGGAAATTAATTTATATGCCCATTTTACTTCTTGATGTGTGTCTATTATATATGTGCATATTTTGTATGTACTATATGTATGGATCTATAGGTATATGCATATGATTTGTTTTTATTTGGTTGTTTTTCTTCTTAGTTTTGTTAGAATCAATTTCTCACTTTTCTCTTCTCTTTAAATTTAAAATGGGCCAATATGAAGTAAATAAAAAAGTTTTAATGTTACGTAGAGAACTCTGCTATTTGAGGTGTTTCAAATGATCAACAAATACATGTTTGAGTTTTTAAAACAAACAAAGCATTGATTTTGCAGTTTTGAGGACATGTCGAGCATGTTTATTTACAGCAGATATTCCTCTATTCCAGGAGTAGGTCATTCCAGTTCCTGAAGGCTGGTATCCTGCAACTTTTAGACCAATCCTTGGTCCAACTCACCTTAATCATTAATTAATGGCTGAAATACCTTGTTGACATGCAGTCCTCTTAAGCATCTAATTACTTGATTCAGGTGCGCTGGACTATGTGCTCATCTAAAAGTTGGAGATTTTCTTGCAGTTTCACTCTCTGATTTTGCTAATGCTTTGACTTGTTCAATCCAGTTTTGAATGGAAAGTACCTTTTTATTTTACATAAATGCTTACAGCCCTTTGTCTTCTCTTACTTAAGTAATAAACATGTCACTGATCAGAGTAATAGTTTTTTTTTCTCAGATAAATAAAAACATCATCTTTGTTACTTGATGGATGAAAAGCTTGATTGAAGTTTCTGAATCACAGTTCCAGCCTCTTTCTCAATGTGGTCCTGCTGATAAGATACAGCTTTTTCTATTTTTGTCAAACTAGAAAATGTTTTTGCATCTTGCCTGCTCTGTGCCGTTACAGCAATAATTCATGTTTATTTTCCTGATATTTAAAACTCATATTGTATTCCTCTTTTTTTTCCAGCACTCTAGAAACAACCTTTGATGGCAGCGTTACCACAGACATCAGTAGCGGCGGAGGTGGTTCCTGCAGCAACAACAGCAGTGGTCGGAGCATCCTCAGCATTACTTCTGCCCGCTCCTCGCTGTCACCATGGCGACTTGGACAGTCCAGCCCACGTCTTCAGGCAGGTGACGCCCCTTCTGTAGGAAACGGTTACGGCGGCCGGGTGGCCGGCGGAGCGCAGGCAGGGCGCTACCTGTATCCTGGGCACCTGCGCAGACAGCTGGCCGGCAGGGGAGGAGCTCTCTGCAGCGTGGACCTCGCAGACAGAACTGGAGAGGAACTCGAGTTGGAAGGCACCGCTGTGGAGGTCACCGGATACATGAGTGATGGAGATGTGCTGAGCAAGAATGTTGTGCGCACTGATGACGTCACCAGTGGGTAAGAGGATGCAACAGAAGTTTTTTCATTCTACAAAAGATCCCTTAAATATTAAAATTTTCTCATTTGGGCCTCAGGATAAAATGCAGGATTTTAAATGTTTCATTTACACTTATTGATCATTCCAGAAGAGGGCAGTAGAGTTCTTTTCTTTTGTGGCAACATCTTACCACCATAGTTAGTCACATAGCATCTCCTCCCTCAGATGGATTAATAGTAACACATAGATAAAGCTAGTTTTCCTTTCCTTGTTGTAACCTGCTCTTTGCATACTTTGGCTCCTACACTGATACCTAAGCTCTGTTGTCATCATTGTTATCGGATAGTCGTAAGGGCGCCAAGTTGCCTTTAGATGCCATCAAGTAGTCAGTTCCAAATAGATGTGAGTCTGTAGAACAGATACTGGAGCATTTAGTTCAGATGAAAAAGAATGTGGACACAATTCTTTATCATCGTATGAGGTCTGAGTAGAGAAGTCTCTCTGGGTTTATTCAGTGTTTTCTGTAGCTAAAGCAGACATCTGTCAGAAATCCAAAATCCAAACTTGATATTAAGAGCCTGTGGCAGAACGTCTATTTGTATTTTGCACGTTTATATATTTTCTGACCAATGCTTTCGAGACATGTGTATATACAGGAGTTTGGTAGTTTTATTTTAGGTTTTAAAGAGTTTTATATAAAAAAAAAAGGAAGTCTGATATTCACCCTGGTATGCTAGATATTATATTTGAGAAAATTATTCTTACTATTTGTGATTCTTTCCTGCCTTATAATTACGACTCAGAGGTTGTCCCCATGTTTTTTTCATTTTTTGCATCTATATGCTTTAAAGGATCTATTACAAGATTTTTATTGGGTTTCCAGATAATTTAACCAACTTTTCAGTATTTTAATATGATTGCTTTAGTTGTTACGTGCCTTGAGACTCAGTGCTTCATTTTTATTTAGAAAAAACAAAGAAATATCACTATTTGTTATTAATTATTCTTGTATATTTGGTTCAAGTTGCTCCTGAAGGATGCTTGAACAGAGATTATCCTTTACTGTTGCCATCATATTCATAGTAGCATGCACCTTTCATTTTTCTAGTAGTCCCATGAAGTCTTTGACCCATCAAGAGGTTTTACTGGATAAAAATCTAACCCCACCTTTCTGTTCTTCCCTATGATACTTCCTGCAAAGTATTTGACTATTATGTTTTTGTTTTAATTGTTAGCCAGTTTTTTCTGCACTTGAGTATCCAAAAACCCAGAGACCACACAGACCTTTCTGCCTACCTTGTTTTTCCTGAGGAAGTTCTGCAAAGTTAAATTAAGTTTTTATAAGCTCCTGGCACCTGTCTGACCTTTTTGGGTCCCATGAAGCTTTCTTTACAGCTACAAAAAAGCCCTTTTCCTAAGCTCATTTAGATTATGCTACTAGGTCATTTTTTTCAAGACTCATAAGCAGATGAGACAAAAGAGATGCTGCTTTCAAAGTGAACTGATCACTGTGGCAACTCCTGGATTAAGGAGCAGCCAGAAGGACACCCACACTCTTCAAGGCAAACACAAAATTAATATAAATCTACACAAAAACATTGAAGCACTCAAGTCTGAGAAATGTATAATCTGTGACTTTTATCAAAATCTTTTGGGCTATATAAAGAGGTTTTAATTTCAAACACCACTGAAGTAGTGTTTCTGTGTTTCTACTCTTGGCGCCATCATAAAGCAAAGTAAATCCACAAATCCCCTTTTCTTAGACTCTAGATCGTGTTGATGTTTGGTCTATTAGTTGACAAATGACTTTCCATTGATGTTTTATCCATGTCAGTTAACTTTCTGTTGGTGAACCTAATCATACAGTACAGGTTGAGTGTTTAAACTGCCTGAGCTTAACGACCCTTTAGGAAGAAGTGATGGATGACAGGGAAACAAGCTTTTATTTAAACAGTGCTGTGTTGACTATATTGGGCTCTTTGTTGTGGGGGGTGGAAGGGTGCGTGTGAGAGAGCGCTGCAGGAACATTCTGTGGGTATGTGGGCGGAGTCATCCTGTAGGTTAACCATTTAAAACAGACACAGACTGATGACCTCCCACTTTACTCTTCATCCTCAGGCCATTTTGCGGTTCCTTGTATCATAAGCTTGTTAGCATCCAGTACATACTTAACTGGTTCTTCCACACTGAAGCTAGGTTGTTTACCCACAGAAAATGAGCTGGCTTGTGGAGCTCACCCATAAACCCGCTGTGCAACTCCTCTTTCAGTTTTAAGTGTTTCGAAAATGTGTAAGATCCACAGAAAATGTTTTATTTTTGTTTTTTTCCGGAATTCGCCCGGGTCCAGTTTTCTGCAAATGTCCCTGTGCAGAAATATCCTAATTAATCTTTCACTGAATGGGTCTTCAGTGTTAAATCCAGCTCCTCTCATCTCACCACCAGATTAAAGCTAAAACAGTTTAATAAGATTTACTTGGCCTTTAAACTCCCAACAGATTATACGCCTCTTAGGAAATTCTTATGCTGATTTGGATGTAGTAGCTCAAATCTCTCTTATAATCTAAGTCCTGCCTAAGTGTTGCTATTTCTAATTGCTCCTCTTTTAGTTTCCTTCCATCCATAACTTAAATCCCCCGTTCCTGGTTTCTCTGTCCCTCAGAGAAGAGGAAACCCATCTCCCCCTCTGAAATGCTTCAGGAGTAAATTGTCTGATCTATCATCCCCCTCCCTCCCTTCTGCATCCACACTCACATCCCTCCTCCACCTTCCACAGACTAACCCAACCTCCAATCAGAAAAGGGAAAACAGCATGTGGAACAGAGCAGAGCTGCCTCATACTAACACTGAGCTCTCAAAGAACAAAACAGTACTTTCACTGCTGATAGGAAGGTGGCCGGTTTCTGATATGGCAACAATGAAACACTTTTTCTCCTGCTGAATTTCTTCATACTGCAGCAGATCTCTGATTTGGGCACAGACCTGATAACAGAAGAGGCCCAGACGGTTAAACGGACAAGTTGCTTTCAAGATTTTAATCAGCCTCACCACCTAGACGTGTTTGTTTTGCTTTCAACTAACATGTTCAAGGCAGACAGGTAGGTGTGAGATTCAGATGAATCATAGAAAACTATTTTTTTTGTAACAGAATTAAGTGTGTATCATGTAGGACCCATCATTGGTGAGCGAAATATCTCTCCAATATCATTAATTTAAAGTTTGTTCCTCTAAACTGAACTGGCTACTTAATTTCCCTCCATAAAATATAATTATTTTCTCCACCAAGGAGGATATGTTTTAAGTCAAGTTTGTTGTGCACAGGTTAAATTAAAAAGTTATGACCGGATTCTGATGAAATTCATTACAGATTCTTTAACATTATTTGGTGAAACAAGCAGTTCCCACTTAACCAGAGAGTGGCAGCAGTGACTGTCAGCTTTAGCAGCTGGCTCAAAAAAGCACAGAGGTATTATACCAGAGGAAATAAAAAAAACACTGGAAAGGCCAGCCATGCCTCACTCAAAGTCTCAATCTGCTGATCAAACAAGAAAGCAGAGTGAATGAAGAAGGTGAGAGCAGAGCAAACACCAGAGGCTGCAGACACATGCTGTGTCTTATTTATTAACTTGTGAAAGGATTTTGAGGAAATTGTCAAATTATCAAATTTGCATCTCATGCCGGAAGAATTCCTTACAATTAAGTAATGATCGAGATCCTGTTTGTAATGGGGCAAAATTTGCTGCTTTGTGGATGTCTGCACTCTGAGTGGTTTTTTTAGTTCAACATGTTTCATCTGGTGTGGAAGGTTACACGTTAACAGGCAGCTGAGACCAGAAGAAAAGAACTGGGTTACATATTAGTGTGACAGGTATGTGTTTCTTCTGTGGCTGGTCATCTCTAAGGTGATTTTGTGGAGCGATGATTGATGCTGCACCCACACGCACACACACAGATTGGACTCTGTGAAGAGTGGTTGCTTTGACTACACTTGTTTTTACTCAGTAGTTTTTTGGGGGTTTTTTTTGTTGTGTATAGTAGAAATTTGACTAATTGTTTTATACATACATTATTTATCACCTTATCTGTAAAGCTGTGATTTTCTTTTCAATAGATATATTCTGGGTCATTATTTACCGTTCATGGTTAGGGTAAATGTGTTTCTTTTTTATCCTTTCGAACAAGAAAAATCTTAAAAACTAGATTTTGTTTGGGTTAATTTAAATCGAATGGATTTGATTTATATCTTTTTCCTAACTGACTTGCACATTAGTAAATATGGATGGGTTGAGTCTACCTTTTTATCAACTGCAACACTGCTAGACTCCAGTTGAAGTAGGACCATGCA